ATACATACATCTGTTTGTCCTTGAGTAGTTATTGAAATCAGTATATGGCATTGTATTATTTTCACTTAGAATTTCTCTATTAGTGAGAATACAAAGAATGTGTTAAAGATGATTTGGCTTAGTGTATACATCTTTACTATGAATTACTTAAGTGGCATGGAAACATTGTGATAGGAAAAAAATAACAATTTGAATAACTTTCATGATATCTTTGACCAAGAAATTACAAGGAATGGTTCCCTTCCTGTTAGGTACTTGAATATCTATATTAAATTATGAACAGAGAGTCAAGAAAAAAGTACAGTTCAAACATGACATTACTTCCAACAGGGCCCCCACATTGAAAATTCATGCCTGCATCTCAGCCTTAGCTTCTTGTTCCTTCTGCTTCGAATGGTCTCATGCTGCTGTTTCAATCTACTCTCTTCAGTCCCACCATCTCCCATCTTTCCTGACTCACTGTGCCTCTTTTTTTTAAAGCATGCATGTCCCACACCCATGCTCATTCCAATGTGTTTTTAGTCCATCTACACACATACACATATTCTCAATCAATAAAGATCGAAAGTACAATCAGAATCATATAATCACATACCACTGCCCTAATACACACAGACACATTGATATGTAAAAAGGATCCTTACAAGGCTGCTACATAGAACTGTACAGCTTGTACACAGCAAACTGTACTTGGCCCTAAATCCTCATGCTCAGGAGGAGAGCCGCTTGTCTATACAACACAATTTAATGGTTGCTTTAGTGGTGTTCTCTACTCGTTTACTTATTTTATATATGTAAGGCTTGTATCCTTGACAGTGCAAGTTCCTTGAGGGAAAAATGATCTGACAGTTTTTTTTTTATGGTTACTGTATTTAAGTACATAATAATAGAAGCAAAATGAGCATGTCTTGATCTATTTACTTTTCCAGGTATCCACCCTTTCACTATACCCCTGCACAGCCACTCACTCAGGTTCCATCATCCTCTCCTCTGGGAAGCCTACTTTAAGTGGGAATTGGAAAGACACACAATATCCTTTTCTCCAAAGAGTAATTAGTGTGCTTCATATATCAGTTACCAAAAGAAGAAAACTCTGTCATCAGTTCATACAAGTAAAATGTGTGCTTAGTTTACATACACACTAAAATGTGTATGTGCTTAGTTTTAAGATATAAAAGTTCAGAAAGACAAGATAAAAAAATCATCTACTTTTATTAAAACTCACCTGACCCTTGAACAACCCAGGGTTAGAGGCGCTGATCCTCCACACTGTTGAAAATCCATGTGTGACTTTTGAATCTCTGCTAAAACTTAACCACTAATAGTCACTATTGACTACAAGGCTTACTGATAACGTACAGTTGATTAACACCTATTTTGTACATTATAGACATATAAGTATTGTATACTGTGTTCTTACAATAAAGTAAGCTAGAGAAAAGAAAATGTTTTTTCAAATATTCTCAGATCTCCAAACATTTTTCCTGTATCTTTATTGGAAAAAATTCATATATAAGTGAACCTGTGCAGTTCAACCCATGGTGTTTGAGGGCCAACTGTACTGTCACCGCTATAGCAAGGCCACTCACAGCAGTAATGATCTGGACTAACAGACGGTAGTAAAGTCCTGGAACTGACAGAATCATTTTTAAAATCCTGCTTCTGCCACAGACCCAAATGGAGTTAGACAAGCCCATACACTCAAGACGTGCAAGGCTGGGTTGACATCCTTCTTCTATTGCTCTCTTTGTGTGCTTGTGAGATCTTGGCTCATCTGTGAGGCCTCCCAGTACCCCATCCCGGTAAGGCGTTGGGTCTTCAAGAGTGCTGCTTTGAAATATAGTACTGGGTTCTTTGCTGCTTCTTGGAAATTTCTCCCCAAAGGCTGAATTCTTTGCAGTGTGATTTGACAGCAGAATCATGTTGTATATCACTTTAGGTACTCTTGTGAACTAGTAGATGTCAGACCATACCTTTGAAAGTTTGTTCAAGGAACAAGGTCGAGTGTGCAGAAGAAAAGGAAACGAGACAGTCAGGAGATGTGCCGTGCCGAGGTGAAAATCACTGAAGGAGCAAACTGAGATGTGATCTGTTAGTTGTGCAGCTACATGGATGGTCCTTTCATGGCAGTGCCGGGAAACTCTTGAGTTTCCTGACAGTGAGGTGAGGTACATAAGTTACAGGCACTACCGAGTCCCAGACAAAATCCCACGGCTGATTTCAGTCATAGCTCCTACTCTCTACCTCACTTCCCGGCTGCCACAACCCCATCTGCAGACTTCTGTGCGAGGACCCTGCTTGTTAGGCCTCTCTCCCTGCCTCCCTCCCAAAGGTAATTTGAGACTCTGAAATACTTTGTTTCTTATCAGATCTTCCATTTATTCATTTATCTATAGTTTTGGACTCATGAATTCCCATTTTATTTAATGAATTATATTATCCATCACTTTTATTATTTATTTGGAACCTCAAATTGTTCCAGGTGAGATCAATCAGAACTCCTTCAAGCCCAAATCCAAAAGTCCTAACTGCTTCTTCATATCGTCCTCCTCTCTACATAGTTGGTAATTCTCCTATTATCAGCTTGTTAGTTAACGGTGCTTTCTCACCACTGAAAACTTTATTGATTTCCATTCCAGAAAACTTGTGTAAATTACTGCACTTAGGCCCTGGATGTCAGAATACCAATTCATTTGACTGGTGTCAATGTTCATTCCTGCATGATTTTTTATAGTTATATGCATTACATTATTTTAAAAATAACTAAAATCCTTTAGTTTATGAGTACTAATATCCCTAAATTATGATGCAGTTTGCTATGAAATATTCAGCTTTGCATCTGTTGTTTTCCAGACTTGGAAATATTTATGTATAATATGGATGCCAGCTACCTTACAAAAAAATTTTAGTTTCCCTATAAAAGTAACATTTACAAAATAGAGTTAAAATAAAAAAGTAGGAATAGATATTATTACAAGAGGAGAATGCCACCCTCCCACAACCCTGTGCCTCTGGCAACCACCAATCTGTTCTTATTTTCTATGACTTGGTTTCATTTAGTGTAACCCCTCTAGGTCCATCCATGTTGTCACAAATGGTTTCCTTCTCTTCTATGGCTGAAATATATGTAATATAAATATGGGTATATACAGATACATCTCAAATTTTCTTTTTCTATTCATCCATCAGTGGCTACTTAGATTGTTTCCATGTCTTGGCTATTGTAAATAATGCCACAATGAACAATGGGGTACAGATGTCTCTTCAAGATAATGTTTTTATTTTCTTTGGGTAAATACCCAGAAGTGGAATCTCTGGATGATATGATAGTTCATTTTTTATTTTTTTGAGGACCCTTTATACTGTTTTCCATCATGGCTGCACCAATTTATAGTCCCACCAACAGTGCACAGAGTTCCCTTTTCCCCACATCCTTGTCAACACTTGTTGCTATGTCTTGTCTTTTTGATGATAGTCTGACATGTGTGAGGTGAGATCTTGTGGTTTTGATTTGCATTTCCGGGATGATTAGTGATGTTGAACACCTTTTCACACACCTGTTGGCCATATGGATATCTTCTTTGGAAGAAGTTACATTTCTAACACATTTCCATATTGATGCTGACATTGCTATCCAGGAACCACAGTTTGATAACCACCGCTCTAAACAAATTGGCAGTCTGGTGTACCCCAAACTCATCATCATTATTATTATTGTTGCTGTTGCTAATTTTTAGCCATTGCATTTTTCCCTGGACACTATTCCTCACTATCTGTACTTACCAAACTTCAATGCTGTTTCTCCTTCATAGCTTACTTCAAATATGCTTCATCCATAAAGATCCTGTTTTTACTCCTAACCACAGGGGCTCTATCCTTCCCTGAACCCCCTTTAATGCTCTGAACAGAGATTGTACTTTCTTTATTGCTCTACCAGACAGCACACTCCTTGATGAAAAAGGACAAAATTTTCATCTGTTTAGAAATCCTTTTAAATTGGTTTTCTAAGAGCTTATAGCAGATCTCTTAAGTGGAATGCAAATCTCCAATTATATCTACCATACAGTTTGGCTATTTCTTCCACCCGCATTATGTAAAATCTAGTATTAACCATGATTAAACCCAGTATGTACATTTCCCAGGCTTTTCTATACTGGGAGCCAGGCTTGTATTTGACTTATTGTATTAAAAGGGTGCTGTGTGTTCAGTGGTTTGTGAACCTCAAATCTCTTCTTTAGTATTGTGCTTAATCCTTTCTAAACAGTTTCTAACAGGAAAGGGAATGGCTTTTAAATAATCCAAATTTAATTGGAAACACTGAATGCTAATTTGTGAGTGTGTGTGTGTGTGAGAGAGAGGGAGAATTTCGGTCCCATTCTTTCTGTAGCTGGTTTTACCCTTTCTTCAGCCCCCTACCCCCACCTTCTCTCTTTTTTGGCCATTTCTCTCTGTCAGCCATTAATCTGGGACTACATTCCCAATGATTTCATTTTTCCTAGTTGCATGTGGCTTTGGGCTATTACACAGACATTTAATTACCAGAGAAGTCTAATAAGCTAATGACTGCCTGAGGCATTTGCTGGGAGGGGCGTGGAGACCCCTTCTCTGAAAGCGCTCTGTCAGTCACCTGCTTAGAGACGGAGATGCCTGTACTCACACAATTTCCACAAAGAAGGGTAAACATGGAGTTTCCTTGGAGATGCCTTTTCCCAGAGTTTGAATACTTGCTTTTCCC